TCCCCCCCGCCCCCCCCCCTGGACCACAGGGCCTGTCCTGACAGCCGCCCTCCCCACCTGCTTTAGTCAGTGTGGTTTTGCTGGGCTTCACCGAGTTCTCTCCAGCCACCCCTCCCCCGTGGGCTCCGATCGCAGCCTCGGCGCGTGTTCTTGCTGATTCTAGTTGGTTTATTAGTTCGTATGATGCTGTTCATTTTGTTTTCTATTCCCTTAGTTTTGAAATATCCCTTCTCATCTCTTTTTATTGTTTTATCAACTTGTCTTCAAGCTTCTCTTTCAACGAATTCATATTTTTATTTAGTTTCTTTTTATGGCACCAAACCTTTGCAGGTGATGTGTTTGTATTTTTTCATATTATGTTTCTTCAAAAAAAATTTTTTTTTTCTGTGAGGTTCCTTTGGAAAGCTTAGTGTTTCCTTTTCTTTTTATTTATTTCTTATTTTTTAAAAAATATTTTTATTGATTTCAGAGAGGAAGGGAGCTGGAGAGAGAGATAGAAACATCAATGATGAGAGAGAGAATCATGGATGAGCTGCCTCCTGCACACCCCACACTGGGGATGGAGCCCGCAGCCCGGGCCTGTGCCCTGAGTGGGAATTGAACCGTGACCTCCTGGTTCATAGGTTGGTGCTCAACCACTGAGCTGTGCCGGCCGGGCTTATATGACGTTTCCATGCCGTCTGCGTTCTTGGGCTTCCGCTGGACATTCGTTTGTGCTTCGTAGTTTGTGCGCAGAGCTGCGAGACTATCGCCGTGCATCCTGGCGGTGCTTAGGCCAGAGTCCTCTTATTGCGGAGGGCGCCCCACTGTCATCTGCACGCCGTGCAGTTTCCCGTTGTCCAAACCCACACGGCGCACGCTCCCCTGGGCACCGACACCTGGAGCCCGTCTGTGCTGATCCATTCGCTGCTGCCCCACGTGGCCGGCACAGTCTCGGTGCCCGCGGGAGGCTCTCTGGGAAGCCCGCCGGAGTGCAGGCGCTGGCGAGGGTGTGGGGCGCTCAGCGCTCAGCTCCGTGGAGGTGCCAGCCTGTTTCCCGGTTCAGTGCGCACCCCGCAGACCTGGGAGCGCCTGTCGTCCCACCGGCTCACCAGCCCTCGATGTGAGAGCTCCCATTTTCACCGTCTGAGGCAGGCGAGATGGCATCTCAGCCACGCTTTCCAGCCTCACTTTTTAAAAAACCTGATGTGTCAAATGGTTTTTGTGCAACATTTATTTGGAACATTTTTGGTTAAAAAATCCATTTTTAACAGATATTTAATGGGTTTGCCTACTTCATGCAAATTGTGCCTCATTCTAGGTAATTATTAGTGAACAAAACAGACATAGTCTCTGCTTTCGGGAGAGCGGCATGATGGTGCTCAGGGAGAGAGGGGTCAAATCCCGACACACACACACACACACACACACACATATTCACACTCACACATTTACACACTCACGTACACTCTCACACACATTCACAGTCACACACGTTCACACACACGTTCACACATTTACACACACTCACACTCACACTCACACGCTCATAAATACAGTTGTTCCTGAGGGAGTGACAGCAAAGGAGAGGTGCTACGAGAGACTTATAAGGGGGCTGGACCTAGATCGGGGGCCAGGAAACATTTAAACAAAGTAAACGTGTAAACAGAAATGGGTGCAGCTTTCGGGTGTCCCCATGTGTCACGTGAGTGTGATGCCGACACGTGCTCGTCTCGGGAAACAGCTGGCGGCGGGCTGTCAGCGAAAGCACTGCCCGTGGTGCCGGCGGACACGGCCACGCTGTGTGGAAGGGCTGCCCGTGCTCCCGTGATGCTGACGGCGGGGACACTGTAACAACTGGGTGGTGAGACACCCACGATCCGCAGGCCACGCTGTGTGGAAGGGCTGCCCGTGCTCCCGTGAAGCTGACGTCGCCGGGGACACTGTAACGACTGGGTGGTGAGATGCCCGCGATCCACGTCTCCTTCCTCGTGCTTTGCTGACTTGCTTGCTTTTTCATCTTTTGCTTCTGTATTAACAGTGACGGTGAAAATTCCTGAAAGGTTAGGCATGTCCCAGAGATCCCCTTTCCGTGTCACTCCCTCTCTTTCTCTAAAAACGCCGATGTCAGAACCGTTCCGGACACAAACCTCATCGGAGACCAAAGGTCAGGAAGATGCTGACGGCGGGTTCAGGGGTGCACCCCGCTCTGGTCTCTCCTGAGGGCCTCCCCCGGGCACCCACCTCCCTGAAAGAGAGACGCGCAAACAGCCACATTTTTGGTGAAATTTACACAACTTTCTAAGAAGC